CACCACGCTAAATAAGGGTCATAAGTTTTAAACTGAAAATAATAAGTTTGAAATTGAAAAATTATTTTGAAACTGGAAAAAATAGTTGAAACTGAAAATACAAGATATATTTCATTCAGTTTCAATTTCTTTTCAGTTTTAAAATTATTTTTCAGGGATTGGTATTTTAACAATACATCTTAAATAAAGAGAACCAGAGGCAAAGGTATAAGTTTTCAGAACGACTCTTTAGCAAAAAGAGAACTTGTGAGGACTCAGTCACACTGAGTCCTCACAAGTTCTGATGCTTTCAGCTCAGAGTGTCTCTTTTATTTAGCAAGTTATTGTTGAGTCTCGGTCCGGTTCGGTTCTTCTGGACTCCGTCGACTGATTGGACCCCTCTCTCTCTTTGTCTGCTCCCGTCTGCTTATCCTGGTGGGTGGCTGGAGCGTCTGCCTGTAGCTGCTGCTTTCGGCTGGTGCTGTCTGCTTCTTCGTTGCTGGGTTGATGAAAATCAGCGCGCGTCCTTGCCTGTAGCTGCTGGATGTTTAAGACCTATTTTAGCTAACACTTGAATGAAGAAAGACGATTTCCTCAGCTTCTAGACATGTTTATTTAACGAGAGATGCGAGAGAGGATGCTAACAGCTAGATCGTATGAAGAACTCTGAACAAAGAAGCGCGTGCCCGCCTTCATGCGCGCTCCGGTCGGACACGCTCGTTCACATTTCTTAAAGGCACGGTACACAAAAATACACGACATTATCAAAAACCCTAATCTTGTCTCTGTATGCAGTCATGGGTCAGAATGTTATAGAGAACATTCTATACTGTGATTAACTTTGCATGCACAAACAAGAACAACTTCCTCAGCAATATGAGAAACAGGAACTTGGATTGATAAAAACATCTTAATAAGACATAGATGTAAGTCTGATAATGTAAAAACTCTGACATTCAGTTTCAAAATTGTTTTTCGGGTTCCTTTTTTTTCCAGTTTCAAAATTATTTTTCAGTTTCAAAACCTTTTTTATTTTGAACAAAACCAATGACCCCAATTTAGCTCCACAGTGGAAGTACATGAATGTGTCATGCTGGGTTGTGGAGGAGGGTGATGCTTGGGAAACCTTTAGGTGTAGAAAAGTTTTCCGTCAAAAAAAATTTTTTTTACTCTGTGTGAGCCTCTCTTCATAACTGACTAAGAACATTTGTACAAAGTCAACTTTGTCTACAGAATACAGGTCCTTCAAGTCAACCTTCAAATAATTATGTTCAGTTGTGCACTCAATACTTGATCAGGAATCCTTTTGCAGAAATGACTGCTTCAATGTGGCGTGGCATGGAGGCAATCAGCCTGTGGCACTGCTGAGGTGTTATGGAGGTCCAGGATGCTTCGATAGTGGCCTTAAGCTCATCCAGAGTGTTGGGTCTTGTGTCTTAAGTTCATCCAGAGTGTTGGGTCTTGTGTCTTAAGCTCATCCAGAGTGTTGGGTCTTGTGTCTTAAGCTCATCCAGAGTGTTGGGTCTTGTGTCTTAAGCTCATCCAGAGTGTTGGGTCTTGTGTCTCTCAACTTTCTCTTCACAATATCCCACAGATTCTCTCTGGGGTTCAGGTCAGGAGAGTTGGCAGGCCAGTTGAGCCCAGTAATACCATGGTCAGTAAACCATTTACCAGTGGTTTTGGCACTGTGAGCAGGTGCCAGGTCGTGCTGAAAAATGAAATCTTCATCTCCATGAAGCTTTTCAGCAGATGGAAGCATGAAGTGCTCCAAAATCTCCTGATAGCTGCATTGACCCTGGCCTTGATAAAACACAGTGGACCAACACCAGCAGCTGACATGGCACCAGACCATCACTGACTGTGGGTACTTGACACTGGACTTCAGGCATTTTGGCATTTCCTTCTCCCCAGTCTTCCTCCAGACTCTGGATCCTTGATTTCCAAATGACATGAAAAATTTGTTTTCACCTGAAAAAAGTACTTTGGACCACTGAGCAACAGTCCAGTGCTGCTTCTCTGTAGCCCAGGTCAGACGCTTCTGCCGTTGTTTCTGGTTCAAAACTGGCTTGACCTGGGGAATGAGGCACCTGTAGCCCATTTCCTGCACAGGCCTGTGCACGGTGGCTCTGGAAATTTGTTCTCCAGACTCAGTCCACTGCTTCTGCAGGTCCAACATCTGGAATCGGCCCTTCTCCACAATCTTCCTCAGGGTCCTGTCACCTCTTCTTGTTGTGCAGCGTTTTCTGCCACACTTTTTCCTTCCCACAGACTTCCCACTGAGGTACCTTGATACAGCACTCTGGGAACAGCCTATTGGTTCAGAAATGTCTTTCTGTGTCTTACCCTCTTGCTTGAGGGTGTCAATGATGGCCTTCTGGACAGCAGTCAGGTCAGCAGTCTGACCCATGATTGTGKTTTTGAGTAATGAACCAGACTGGGAGTTTTTAAAAGCCTCAGGAATCTTTTGCAGGTGTTTAGAGTTAATTTGTTGATTCAGAYGATTAGGTTAATAAGCCGTTTAGAGAACCTTTTTCATGATATGCTAATTTTTTGTGATAGGGATTTTTGATTTTTCTTTACTTTATTGCCAAAATCACCAATTTTACAACAATAAAAGGCTTGAACTACTTCAGTTGGTGTGCAATGAATCTAAAATATATGAAAGTTTAATGTTTATCAGTACATTACAGAAAATAATGAACATTATCACAATACGCTAATTTTTTGAGGACTTGTATTAATGAAGCCAACTGGGACAAATGAGCGTTTGTACCTTTTTGTGTTCCATGTATCTACGAGCAGAAGGCAACAACCTATAATGACAACGAAGAAGATGAGTTGGGTCAGCAAGAATTATGCCCTTTTTCCACTAGTGCCACTTAGTGTAGTGTCAGTACGGTTCGGTACGGTTCCAAGCCATTTCCATTTGGCCAGATTCATGGAACCAGCCCTTTTTTTACTACCTACTTTTTTGTGGTTCCAAGTGGTCCCAGTCGACACCAAAATGCAATGTCAGAACACTGTTCGTCACTGATTGGCTAGTAGGTGGAGTCACTGGTTTCGTCTGAGCTGCCTTTACAACAACTCGAGGTGCCCTTTTTTCCAATTGTAACAGCGACACTAGTCGTGTTTCCATCCAGTTTTACTTCAAATGTTTAATTTTTTTTATTTCAGAACTTATTCGGCACATGTGTTTCCATCTCTCATTTTACGCATTAACTCCACCTCCACCAACTTCCCAAAACACACCCACTGGAAACAGACTAGAACGTCAATGGAAAAGCACCCGAACTGACCTGTTCTGACACTACACTTAGTGGCACTAGCCTTCCTTGTGATTCTGGTTCTATAGAGTTGGGGAGCTCTACCAGACTTATTCCTGTCATTTTTCTACACATCCTTACAATGCTATTTAATCTGTGCTTATTTTTCAGGGTAAGAGACTCTAACCAACAAATGAAAGAAAATTTTAAAACAGACTCGATAAAAGAGTAAAACATTTTCATAAAAACACTGTCAACATTAAAACTTCTTAGTTTCCAATAAAAATACAAGCGCTGGTGGACCTTAGCACAGACTTCATCTGTATTAGCCTCAAAGCTCAAGCAGTTGTCGATAATTGTACCAAGATATGTGTAATGCTGTACAACCTCAACAGCCTGTCCATGGATAAAAACTGGAGGGAATGGAGGAGGCTTCTTTCTAAAATCAGTCAACATCTCTTTGGTTTTAGAGACATTAATATCCAAAAATGAAYGCTAACACCAGCCAATAAAATCATTCAGCACAGAGACATGATCACAATCCTGGTCATCAAGCAGAGACACAATTACAGAGTCATCAGCAAACTTTATGATGTGCCTGTCTTTAATTTGACTCTGGCACTCATCAGTATATAAAAGAAATAAAAGTGGTGAAAGGACACAGCCCTTGGGGGAGTCAGTGGAAAATAAAGGTATATCAGAAAGAATACCATTAACCCTCACCCTGGGTCTGTTAAAAAGTTAACTAACCAACAAACTAAATCTCGGTTAATATGGTGCCTACCTAGAAGACGTGCTGCTATAATATGGGGTTGCATACAGTTAAAAGCTGAGGAAAAGCCAATAAAAAGCAAAATAATAACGTTTTGCCTTATCTGCATGATCTGCCACAAGTTGAAGTAGGGTGTTGACAGCATCATCAACACTTCTACCCACTCTGTAAGTAAACTGTAAGGGGTCTACTCTAAACTACTTACAGTTACCTTCAGAATCTCAGCTTATATAATTTTCTCCAAAGATTTCATCACCAGTGAGGTAAGAGCAACCAGACAAAAATCACTTTGTGTCTTAGGAGCTTTACATTTGGCCACGGGTACAATAATCAAATCTTTCCAGAGCCTCGGCACTTGGTGAAGCTGAAGAGACATGTTGAAGATAAAAGAAAAAATGTCAGCCAGCTGTTCAGCACAGTTCTTTAAGAGTCTGCCCCCAATTTTATCTGGACTCATACACTCTTTAGTTTTCTGAAAGAGATTAGTAACAATTCACGTATTTATATTAATTAAAGTGGCCATCTTAGCTAGAGGATCACTTCTGTATTCAGCCAGTTCATCATGAGAATTCTGAGAAGTGAAACGATTATAAAAAAGATTCAAGTCATTGGCAGTTTTCTAAGTCAGACTCGTCACTCAGGGAAATGGGGCTCCGATTTAATCTTAAGAATTTTGACATTTTTCATAAAAGACAACCATTTTGGCAGATTACCAGATTTTGTCAACCGGTTGTCCAATGGACAATCTGAAAAAGTTCTACCCCTGATCTGGGCTTTTCAAACTTGTTTAAAACCATCATAATCCTTATTGATTTGAAGTGTGTCTTACAACAAAGTGATGTTTCCTCCTGTTGGGTTTCCCACCTAGGAGTTATTTGAAATGACTGCTTTGATTTCTGTGTGGATTCTAATGTGTCTGTTCAAATAATCCTTTGTGGTAAACCTTCGACCACACAGCTCACAACAAAATGGCATCTGTCCTGTGTGGATTCCCATGTGTTTGTCTAAACCACCCTTTTGGGTAAACCTTCGATCACACAGCTCACAACAAAATGGCTTCTGTCCTGTGTGGATTCCCATGTGTGTTTCTAAACTGCCCTTTTGGGTAAACCTTTGACCACACAGCTCACAACAAAATGGCTTTTGTCCTGTGTGGATTCCCATGTGTTTGTCTAAACCACCCTTTTGGGCAAAACTTCGACCACACAGCTCACAACCGAACAGCTTCTGTCTACTTTTGTTGTTTTTAACACCTGATTCAGGAACCCTACTGGGAGTAGACTCCCAGTCTTTATCAGTGTCTTCAGTTTTTGACCCAGAGTCTAAGTGTTTCAGCTGAGAGGCAGGATTGTTCACATCATTATCCTCTTCATCATCTTTACTGACTTCAGTTTCTGAAGATTCAGAATCATCATCATCCTCACTGACTTCAGTTTCTGAAGATTCAGAATCCTCTTCATCATCCTCACTGACTTCAGTTTCCGAAGAGTCAGAATCATCTTCATAAGTACTCAGATCTGGGTTTCTGGTAGTTTCTGCTCCCCCACAGGACTCTCCACCAGTTGTTGATTCCAGGTTGTTATCTGAGCTGCTGGTTGGAAGATCTCTGATTTCAACTTGGTGTTGATGAAGCTGTAAGAACAGAGGTTTATCTTCATCATCCTCATGCTTCACAGGCTTTGCAGTGAATGAAAAGCTGGTGGCATCCGTCTCCTCCTTGACATTGAGCTGCTCTGCTTCCAGACTGGTCCAAAGTTCCTCCTCTTCCTCTTTTATATGGAGGTGTTCTTGGTCCTGCTGGTCCACATCAGGTTTCTGTTCTTCAGGAGCTTCTTCTTTAATCAGTGCCTTCTTAGGAACACCTTCAGGAACCACTGAAACACATGAACAGGACATTAAAGGAGAACTGTAGCTTTATATTCACACATACATCTCTTGTTGGACTACTCAGATAACAGAGATGGTTTGACTTAACCAAACAGGTTTTAGAGCTAAACTGGAGCCAGAGTTCACTTAGTACCACCTCTTTTTTATTCCAACACTTTAAGCTYTGGTTTTAGCACAAAAATCTCAAAACACAGCACTAAAGCAAATATTTGGAAAAATGTTAGACAAACCAAGTGTTAGACCAGAGCTGGTGTGATTTGTTTATTGCTATACAGTGCTCTGTACCATATCCCTTCTCCTTAGTGCATATCATAAGCTAATCAGGTAACTTTTTTTTCCCTATTATCATAAATATTGGTATGAATTTAAAATATATAGTGATGTAAAATCTTTTTGTAAGATAAGATAAGATAAGATAAAATAAGACAAGACAAGACAAGAAGATAAGATAAGACAAGATAAGATAAGATAAGATAAAACTTTATTGATCCCACAGTGGGGAAATTTGCACATTACTGCAGCTTAATATAGGAGAGGCTGAGAAGAATAATGAAAGATAATAAAAGGTAACAAACAAAAACAACCCCACAATATATACATGTGATATATAGTAATGTACATATACCAATGCACATATGCACATATACATAAACACATATGCACATTTATATACATATATACAATATAAATTACAGTACAAAAATGAATGTAAATGAAGGAGCACATTAGTGATCCCAGTGTAGGTGAATTGTCCAAGTGACAGATAACATCATGATGTGTTATACAATCTAACTGCAGTTGAAATGAATGACCTATGGAAGCGCTCTGTCCTGCAGCGAGGATCTGCTCAGCACCCCCACCCCCCCGGTTTCATGCAGAGGGTGGTGGGGGTTGTCCATGATGGCTGTCAGCTTTGCCAACATCCTCACTACCACAGGCTCCAGAGGACATCGCGGCACAGAGCTTGACCTCTGTACCAATTTGTCCATCCTGTTCCTGTCCCTTTCAGTACATTGTAGGGGTCACCCTGGTGAAAAAAAACTTTTCTATTGTTTTTTCTTTGTCTTTGATTTTATTTTTTACACTTATAAAAAGAAAATCATTTTAAAGTGTTTTTATTTTCTTTAAGTGAATAGGACAAAGTCCTATATATATGTTATCTCATTTAATCT